TTCAGAAAGTGCACGACCTTGTTAGGAGACCGGACACTGCTATTTTACAAAGTCCTGTAGGGTCGAAAACAAAAATATCAGTGCAAGATAATTACGAATATTTGGTAAGGCTCGTTGTCGCCGTCAGGCGTGGGAAGCCAGTCTTTCGCCCTCTCTGGAATTCTGGATGAAAAAAGTCAAAAGTGGTGGAAGAAAGAAATATAGCAAACATTAATACCGAAAATTGAAGTGTTTAGAAATATTCTTATATCCTCAATACCCTAGGGCCATCAATAAAACAATATTGAGCTACTTAAACGTCTGTCCGTAAGCAAGCCTCACCCGACCCTTTGGAAGAATACCGGATGTTTCAGGCTTTCAATCTTGCCTCGCTTGTCCGTCCTGGTATGTACTCAGGCAGTTTACAAGACGGTAAACATTTAGGTATGCCTGATGTGTGCGGGCATTCCACGTAACGCCACATTTCATACTTTTCCTGTCCGCATAGAACTACACTAGTAGGGCTTCGGGCAGTTTATATTAATGCCNGTTGTTACTGGAGAAATTTTGCCTAGAGGTACAGCTGCCGGAGCACGTGAACCTGATTTTAGGCCTAACGTAATCTCGAAGTTAACAAAGCATCAAGCTTCATACCTCCATTTCCACATACATCTTCATGGTGTGGCACGTAATCACGCATGTTCCTCCGGTAAAGTTCCACCAGAGTACACGCCGTCATATCGTCACATAAGATAAGGTAGCACTTTTCAGAAAGTGCACGACCTTGTTAGGAGACCGGACACTGCTATTTTACAAAGTCCTGTAGGGTCGAAAACAAAAATATCAGTGCAAGATAATTACGAATATTTGGTAAGGCTCGTTGTCGCCGTCAGGCGTGGGAAGCCAGTCTTTCGCCCTCTCTGGAATTCTGGATGAAAAAAGTCAAAAGTGGTGGAAGAAAGAAATATAGCAAACATTAATACCGAAAATTGAAGTGTTTAGAAATATTCTTATATCCTCAATACCCTAGGGCCATCAATAAAACAATATTGAGCTACTTAAACGTCTGTCCGTAAGCAAGTCTCACCCGACCCTTTGGAAGAATACCGGATGTTTCAGGCTTTCAATCTTGCCTCGCTTCTCCGTCCTGGTATGTACTCAGGCAGTTTACAAGACGGTAAACATTTAGGTATGCCTGATGTGTGCGGGCATTCCACGTAACGCCACATTTCATACTTTTCCTGTCCGCATAGAACTACACTAGTAGGGCTTCGGGCAGTTTATATTAATGCCACATCAATTTGCCGGTGTGTAGCAGGATATGTTCTGCTACAGTTCTCAGAAAACGTAGATATTCATATGACGTTGCTTACGTCAGGAGGCCAGCAAATCTTTGTCTTATTGGGCGAATGAGTAATGCTGACAAGATGATGACTTACGAAGAAAAATCGGCGGATCATGATTTGAGGGGGGGGGGGGAACAGGTTCTATGTACGTCTAAAAACAGCTATCGGGCTGGTTGCATGAAGGCGTTGCTAGTAAATAGGGAGCATCCCCGAACCAACGTGTCATGAGAATAAAATGGCTGCCTACATCAGTCTTGTAGTTGCTCCAGGGTATGTAGGAAATAATTCCTCGACTTGATAACATATTATTGAACTACGTGCAGCAGACCTCTTGAGAATCCTATAGTCGCCCGGCTGGTTAAGAAATACCTCACCTTACATAGAAGGCGACTACGGTATTCATTACTGTGTTTTGGAAAATTATTCGCCACAAAAAGTATACAGATCTCAGAAAAATTGCCCTCTACTTCACACCAAATTTATATCTGCTTACCTATGTGAAACGGCCTTCTCGGCCATGAATATTAAAAAAAAAAAGAACTCCATGGCCTGTGGTCAGCAAGCGAACTATACCGACCTAGCTAAGTTAGTGCAAAAGTTTGCGGATAAAGGGTATCGCGTGGCCAATGCAAAGGATCCTCACGACCGTTAATTTCGGTTTTCTAGACAGGATACGCTATTTCCTTGAAATAGCTCCTCAGTTATCCTCACGAGGCTGAGTGGACCTCGTTCCAGACCCACTACTTCTCACAAAATCTGGTAGCGCCGGGAATAGAACGCGGGACCTTTGGATCTGTAACCAGTAACTCTGACCACTAGACCACTGAGGCGGTCTGGATGAATATTATCAAATCAAAATATGGCTCCTGTCTCACAGATAACAACTTGGACACGTGATCACGGCTAGCAGTTGTCATTTTTTTTACTGTCCCTGCAGCCGCCTTGGGCCCTGGCCTCGGATATTCAGTTTTATGATCTTTTTACAGAAGGTATGACTCCTTGGACGAGTGATCAGCCCGTCGCACGGCCTCTACCTAAACACAGGCCAACACAAACACAGAATAAACGCATACATATACCAAGCATCCATGCCTTGTGTGGGATTCGAACCCACAATCCCAGCTTCCGAGCGAGCGAGGACAGTACATGCCTTATACCGCTCGGCTACCGTAACCGGCAATGTATAAGAATAATATATAAGAATTCAGTTCGTACCTCACAGGAAACAGATCCGAACCCACGATCCCGGCTTCCGAGCGAGCGAAGACAGTGCATGCCTTAGACCGCTCGGCTACCGTAACCGGCAATGTATAAGAATAATATATAAGAATTCAGTTCGTACCTCACAGGAAACAGATCCGAACCCACGATCCCGGCTTCCGAGCGAGCGAAGACAGTGCATGCCTTAGACCGCTCGGCTACCGTAACCGGCAATGTATAAGAATAATATATAAGAATTCAGTTCGTACCTCACAGGAAACAGATCCGAACCCACGATCCCGGCTTCCGAGCGAGCGAAGACAGTACATGCCTATACCGCTCGGCTACCGTGACCGGCAGCAGTTGTCAATTAGACACCGAAATTCTCGAAAGAAGTGTATTCGAGGTAGTGCAGGTATTCTTCATTTTGTTAATGAAACGTGTGTTCTCGTGTGGTTCATGTCATTTTATATTAGTTCCGAACCTTCTTTTTATGAAAATACATATTCTAAAATTTTCACGTCATTAAAATTTAATACGATTTGTAGGAGCAAGTTGGTGTAAATTCTGAAACAGAACTTGATATTTGAGCTTAATCTATGAAATCAGTGTGTTTATGCGTCCTAATTACACCGAAGAAAATGTATATTAAATGAAATAAATTAATGGATCACGGATTTGCGGACAGTTTTAAAGTAGCCATTGCCATGCAAAAGTCTGCCAAGCCAGAAGGTGAGATTTGAGGCTATGAATGGCTATGAAGCTTATTGTCTTCCCAGTGTGACTCCGTATAGCTTGGTACATAGATTCCTATAAAAAATACATTGCTGTGATTTCTGGAAAGATTAATCTTAATCCTGTTACACCATGGCGAGGTGGGTTGCTTTCTGAAAGAAGTTTCATACTGTTTTAATACCGTTTGTCACTTGTTCACTGAAGCCAACCGCGTTAAGACGAATTGTTTCCCGCGGTAATAAATGCAACCGAGTAAAAATATTCCGTTACTATTATATGCAGATTATACACAATATTTTAACATTGGAAATAATTTTGTCATATTTTACATAGTTCTACATTAAAATGCTGAATGATTGGATAATACTCTTCTAGAAATTAATAAAGGAGTTCGACAAGGATGCCCATTATCACCGATACTGTTTAATACTTACACTGACAGAATCATCAAAGATTGGCTACAAGTGATCAAACAAAACTTTTTAGCAGAGGTCTTAATTCTAAATGCGGACGACCAGGCAATCGGGTCGCGTACAGAATATGAACTAATATTAACTGCAAAGCGCAGCATATGCACCGAACAATATAGTTATTAAATATAATTTGAAGACTTCGGTAAATAACACAAATGCAATGGCTATGAAAGGAAAGGCAAATGTGCGAACTAAAATAGTGATAAATAATAACATAATCGAACAAGTAAATGGTTTTAATTACTTAGGGTACACAATTACAGTATCAAACAACAGATTTAGAAATACAAATGAATAGATTTAATCAACTGTGCAACACAGTACGAAGAACATCGAATAACAAGACAAGAAAAGAGGCACATAAAGTTTTATAGAGCTATGGCAGTACTTGCGCTTACATACGGATCCGAAATGTGGATTATAACGTAAAAACGTGAAAGAAAACCGAAACTGCAGAAATGAAACACTTTAGGAGTGTAGAAGGCTACACAAGAAAAGTCCAAATAATTTCTATATGTAATAATACAAATGCCGTCGTGAATGCAACAATTTGTTTGGTTGTAGTTCTTTGTCCTTTCTTCCTCTACACTACATGTTTCGGCCGTAACTGGTCATCATCAGGTGTATTTTTCACTACGTATCTGTCACACTGCACACAATCCAAAATCTAAAACACCAGCCTGTCAGTTTTGTTTAAAATCTCGCCAACATACGCTAGTCAATTTGATTTTAGAATTCCAGTTTAAAATTTAAATAAGTTCTTAAATTGGGGAAGACCTGAAAACTTTTAATTTAAATGCTAAAATTATAAAATCCAAATCGCGATGGAAATATCGTGTGCAACGAATGGGAGATAGAGGGATTCCGAAGAAAATTATAATATACAACCCAAAAATGAAACGGGCCGTAGGAAGCCCACAGGTAAGACTGAAAGATTAGCATATTCTACAAGGTGACGTAATACATGATGATGATGATGATGATGATTCCTAGGATACAAACAATGGTAAATCAGTGAAATCAGTGAATTGTGATCCGTGGAAGTGAATGTACAGATCGATCCTTTGTTACATGCTTCGATAAAGCGCCGCCGTACCTAAAATTTGAAAGACCAACAGTTTTAACAATCTGTAGCAGTTTTAAGAGGACAAGAATTTTAAAGACAGAACTGAATTCTTGTCCGTCAAACCTTGAACTAAGGGAACAGAGATCCGCGTAAGTCTGATCATAGATCGATCCCTCGTTACATAATTCGAAGTGGCTCCGCCATACTGAATAGTGGCACGAACTACAGTGTTTATAATGGTTTATAATCTGTGGCAGGTTTGGTCGTTGTGGTAGTGGAAGAGTTGAGAAGAGATAGATATGATTGATTTCCTCCCAAACATTGATTACGAGTTGTGCATTTTATTACATTTGAGCTTGCGCTTCTTACTTCTAATGTTTGCTGAACTTGCAGCAAGGTCGGTGCGGTCGATGCTGGTGTAAGTTGTAGTTGTCAAACGTCTGGCATGAGTTGGAGGGTTAAGGGTGTCACTGTGTGCGGGTGAGCTTGCGTTTGATATTTTGAACGTAGTTTGTAGAACTATAAGAAGCCTTAAGTTTTGAAATTCAAGACGAATTTTGGTATAAAAAATTCTCATGAAAATTGATTCTCCATATTTGCCATGTTATATTGCAGAATCAGTAATTCAGGATTGGGTGAGAAGCATGGGATGCTTCTAATTTATTTTGGAACCAATTTCAGAGTAATGAAGCAAACCGTCCATGCATGTAAATTATAAGCACTATTACTGCAATATCAGAACAGTACGATACAAATTATAATGTAGAGTTTGAGGACTAAGGCACTGAAATGAATTTTAACTCTTCCACCACTCTTTGGTGACAGAAGTGTGGCATTTTTCAAACTTACAACCACTTTTGTCAGATGGGAACAGTTTTGACATTCTTGTTTTCTGTAGGGAAGGAAAGAATGTTACTATTTTAGCACATCCTGTATGAAATAAAGACTTAAAATATAATCTCATTACCGCAGCTACTATGACTTCTTCTGCTACCATCACCACCAGCACTAGTGGTACTGTCTTCATTGTTTCTAGCTACAAAAATTTCAGAAATCTGCCATTCCAGCAAACAGTTCATTGTAGAAAATTTGCCAGTATTTAACTGGGGCTACTAAACATTACCAGGTGATGCAAGTAAGGTCAAAATTTTATTTGCATGTTTGTCTCACACAAGCACAGCCCATTATAGAAGTTTGCTTATAAAAACAAAACCCAAAGCTTAACCATGAAAAACTTTAGAAATATATTTTTAAAACACTGAACCTAAAGTGTAAGTTTTTTAAAAACAAAACCAAAAGCTGAAGCTTGTGGATTTGTTAGAGCCAAATTCCAGAGTTAGACTTTGAGTGCTGTTTTTAACAGCTAAACGCCTGAAGTTGGTGGTATGGACACAGAAGACAACATTGCTAACACTTCGAAGTTACATGGCCCACCTGCCAATATGTAGGTACCTAACCGCCCATACAGTGGGAGTGGTCTGTTAAAGTTTCTGCATTTAATATTGAATTGTCCCAATGAAATAAGTTATTATACTCGTAGAATGGGAAGGAAAGTGGTGGGGGGAGCTATCGTGGTGTAACTTCAAAGGAACGGTTTTTTTGTTATAGAATGCCATGATGGACCCAAATCCTCTGAGTGTTATCCTTGTGAAAAGTGACAGTAAGGGCGATCGATTGCTGTTCCGTTATCCATACACTACAGATGCACGCAGTGAAGCTGGACAACAGAACCGACGCCGCAATCCATATGCACTGACGATAACAGAGGACCTACTGCAGACACCTCCCCCTCAGACTTCCAATATCTGCAATGGTCACCTTACTGGGTTCTCAGACGAAGTGCTTTCCACACTCTTTGCAGTGAAGCCAGAGCTCTGTGAACGCAAGTTTGAACTGAAGGTGAATGATGTACGTTTTGTAGGGCACCCCACCGTGCTCAGTGACTCAATCATCCTCACCAATATAGTGTTTGCCCTACATGCCACAGCTAGCCACTCCATTGTCAAGTGCTACTACGATCTGAGTAAGAGACTTGGCATTGCACTGCGGCATGAGGAGCGGCGTTGTGGCTACCTTAGTCAGGAGACAAAGACCATGGTCATGGCACATGATGAAGTGGCTGCCAGGTGAGATTAATGCATGCAAGTACTCCTGCAAGACTTCCACAAAACAACATTTGTACCTTGTATTTGTTTGGATGGTTGAAAAGCAGGATAGCATAACATGAAGACTGATTATAAAGGAAGAAGGAGGTGTGTATGTTTGTGTGAATTGAAAAACAAGGAAGGATTTCCAAAGCATTTAATAGTTTAATAATATATGTTTGTCTGTCTGCAAGTAAGAACACCCAAATTATGTGACTGATTTTGTTGAAACTTGTTTCCAAACACATACACTAAATTTTGTAAAAGTATTTCCATTTCAAGTAGTTTCTCTCATTTTAAAAGTTGAATACATATTTGTGCATACCTTGCTAAATATTTCTGAGAGTCCTGAATGACAGTTGCATGACAAAGCAGGTTGGTAAAGCAGTAGCTCTTTTAACTTCTATTTAAGATGCATTCTTTCAGATCTCAGCTGGGACATCACTGCTGTCAGTGAGTTCTGTTATTTTGATTTGAAAATCATATTTTTGTAATACAAATCAATGTTGGGATTCTTGGTAAAGTAAGCCGATGGTCAAAGTACGTGCACTGAGCTGTATTTCCACAGAGTGACCATGTGATCACCAAAAAATGTTATTTCAAGATATTTATTAAAATCATGGTTGACCAAAAATCGGGATTGAGTGATTAGCACTTCTTCATAATCAGGAGATCCCAGTTTCAAATCTCAGCTCAGAAACTGACTCTCCTAACTACAGTTTTTGTGGCTTGCAGTTCCACCAGGTAAATAGACAGAGAAGAAGGCTATGAATATCCCTTCCACTTTCTTTTCAATCCATTATTCAGTATCAGCAAATCATTTGACAGTATGTAGCTGAGTTATAGAATGCATTATAGATCACTGTGGTCGCGGTACGAGGGCCAAGAAGGCCCACCCCTTATACATATAGAATGCATTCAAGGAATTATAAGTAAGTAAATATAGAAGGATGATTACATGCAGAAATTTTGGGTTAGATATTCCTTTTGAAAAGTCTGAAGTCAACTGATGTTTCAGAGGTACATGTTGCTTCCATCTTCAGGATCAAAAAATAAACCAACCAAGTAACAAACATGAAGGCCATTGGAAGCTCTGCTAGTTTTGTGCTTTGCTTATTTTTCAACCCTGAAGATGGAGGCGACATGATCCTCAGAAACATCGGCTGACTTTCAGTGGACTGCAAGGTGTTAGAACTCTTCATGACTGCCTCTGTGAGAACGTTTTGTTTGTTGCCAAATTCAACTTATAGTTCAGCATGAATTGTGGGCTTGTGCAGACCAGAGGGAGAGAAGCCAGAGGATGCTGATTCTCCATTCAACCTGATTTTGGAGCGTAGTACCCTGGCACGCAACTTGAAGGCTGTGTACGACGACCTGATCTCAATGGGTGTTGTACATGTGCGTGTCAACAGGTGGATAGAAGTGAGTTTCTGTCTGCCACAGAAAGTGCACCAGTTTGACAAGAAGGACTTCATCATTGAACCTGAGTCCATACACAGGTGACTGGCTATATCTTGTTTGTTGTTTGCATATGTGGAGAGAGTCATGTCATCTGCCTGGAAATGCTGATTTAGATTAATACATTTCATTAGAAAATTTATATTATGATATAAGTGGCACTGGATTGAGAGTGTAAGGTGTCATATGAACAAAGGAAAGTTTCCGAATTAACAAACTCCATGAAACAGAGACATTCTGTATTTTTTGTCACTTATTTAGTGATGCTACAGTGTGTTGAGAATATTGGACTGAAGAGAGATGAAGTGACAGGAGGTTGGAGAAAACTGCATAATGAGGAGCTTCATAACTTGTACTCTTCTCCAAGTGTAATTAGAATGAACAGGTCAAGGAGGATGATATGGGCAGGGCGCGTAGCACAAATGGGGGATAAGAGGAATGCATATAGGATATTGGTGGAAAAGCCAGAAGGAAAGAGACCACTGGGAAGACCAAAATGTAGGTGGGTGGGAAATATTAAATTGGATCTTAGAGAGATAGGTTGGGATGGTATGGAATGGATTGATCTGGCTCAGGATAGGGACCAGTGGAGGGCTCTCATGAACGCTGTAATAAACCTTCATGTTCAGTAAAATGCTATGAAGTTCTTGAGTAGCTGCACAACCAGCAGCTTCTCAAGAAGGGCTCAGCTCTCAGAGAGAGTGAGTGAGTATTTAAGGATGCTTTCAGTAGCAAAAGTTCATAGCATCAGATGGTAGAGTAACTAATGAATTGGGAAGGATTTGGAAGGGAACAGGCGTGGCCTAATCCAGATACTATTTACTATTTGCCTGAAGAGACTGAGAAAAACCACAAAAAAAGAAAACTCTTTGAGAGTATCCAGTTTGTTAAGGGCCATGTTTGAGCTGCACACTTTCCAAATACAGTCCAAGAGCCCCTATACCAGCTGGTTCAGTCAGACTCCTTGAGATCTAATAGGTAGTGAAGAAACACTCATCCTCTTCTGGTACCCAAAGGTTCATTTCTGTACTAACAAGAGCTCACCTCCTGTTCATATCCTGAACCACATGAACCCAGTCTGCACATTACATTATATTTATTTAAGATCCATTTTAATATTACCCTTCCATATATGCCTAGGCCTTCAAAATACTCCCTTCCCATGATGCTTTACAGCCAGATCTGTATGTGTTTCTCATTCCATCCATGCATGCTACAGTCTCCACCTGTATAATTTTTCTTGATCACTCTTGATAACATTTGATGAAGAGCACAAATTATGAAGCTCCTCCTTACATAGTTTTCTGCAGCATCCTGTCACTTCTTCTGGTGTAGCTCCAGATGTTCTCATCAGCACTCTGTTGGCTCTGAGGAGATTTAACACCAGAAGCAGCAATTGACAGATATTTCAACAGCTAACACTCTTCCCAAAAATTAATCTGTAAATTTTTATCAGTTAAGTATTTTGCATTTTGCTCATTCCAGGGTTGAGGATGTACTATTTGAATATTTCAATGTGACCATATGCAATGAAGCCTTCTCAGGTATCAGTGTGGAGTTAGTATGCAGCATTTCAAAGACCACATTAATCTCCTGATAATGGAGACACACAATTTCCATAATNATGCAATGAAGCCTTCTCAGGTATCAGTGTGGAGTTAGTATTGCGTCGAATATACTGTTTCAGCTCTACAGGCTACATAGCATTAAATTATCATAAATTGTGAGTTGGGAAAGATTTGGTAGGAGATGTTTACAGTATTTTTGAAGAAGTTATCATGTTACAGATCTGAATACACTGAGGGAAGCCATGATAAACCTTAGTAAAAATAGCCATTTCTCCACCTGAGATTTGAACAAACTACTTTTTAATACAAATTGGACATGTTACTGCTATATAAGTGTATATACATTTTCAGTCGCACAACATATATTCTTCCATCAATTTTCACAAGGTGGGCTGCGTGTTTCAGCTCATACGCACATTCACACAATCACTTCCATCCACATTCTTTCAAATTCATTATTTACTATCCGGTCACTTGATTGTAGACAGTATGAGCTACTGAAAGCATCGTTAAATGAACAACACTGTAATTTGGCTGAACACCAAGGAGCTGAAACATCATAGTTCACACTTGACATGTTTTTGTGATGTTATTAGGTGTCTGCAGTCACTGCGCCCATACCATGGGTTACTGCTGCTGGTGGAATCCAGTGAACTGCTGAACCACCTGCCCCCTGATGCCTCACCTGCTCTGGTGCGCCTCGTCCGCATGTACAGCCCCCTCAAGAGCCTTCAGACATTGGCTGCAGATGCTGACCTCACTGTATCCCAGGTGTGTGCACCCTGGCAGCTATGCTAACAGCCTAGCCTATTTTCCAGTTCTCCAGGCATGAGTGCATTATGAGTCATATTTATCTGTTCATAGGTGTTCCAGCTGGCAGGCCACCTGTTGTACTGGGCCAGGGCAACTGTAATCTACCCATTGTGTGAGAGTAATGTTTATGTCATTGCTCCAGATTCCCCAACACATGTCAGCTCTCCCCTTATCGAGCGCTTCTCGGAGCATTTTCCAGGCATGAACCTTTTGCAGGTATGAAATGTTAAATTCTCATGTAACTGATGAATGAGTCTGTGGACCTCGCTGTCCTTCTCTTACCACGTTGAATACCAGATTTAAATACCTCATGCTATCCTCTGTTCATGGGCAGTTTTTTAAACTTCAGCGAAATAATGCATCCAAGAACAATTTGTATTGTCACTCACCCTTGACTGATTTGTATGAAACCTGGAGGGAATGTGTGTGAAGACACTTTTCAGTAGCACTGAACAAAGCTTGCATATACTAATATATTGAGTTGTCCTTATTGTATCAGCTACACAAGCCCTACAACTCCAAGTGGAATTAGTCCCTGCACTGACAGTTTTCTCCAACATGTCTCCACTGAGTCTTGTTGGTGGATCAGAAGGTGCCCATCTTGTTATATTGGAGGGGCCAGCCTCTTCCTCTTCATCACTTGCTTGCAATGGTGGTCTTGCTGTGAACCAGGTCTTTGCAGTGGAGAGGAAGAAAACCTCATAAGTTGTCTTATTTTTGGGATTTAGAACACGATAAATTTTAAGTAAATTGAAGAGCCTGCAGTAACCTATACATGAAGCATGATGATTTTAGCAACTGATACAAGACGATTATGCTGAAGACAGTAAATCTAGTATCCTGTACACAGTGTGTTAAAATTAAATCCTTAAGTTTCAGAACTGTTTGGGCAGATTACATTAAATATAGGTAAACTTGATAACAGTGTATCATGTAGAAGTGTTGCAAAATTTGTGTACCTGGAAAGTGTAGTCAGAAAGAAAAACAATATTTATGCTGATATTAAGAGAAGATTGAATTTTGCTGATGTTGTTGCCATTTAGTTTGGAATATTTTATCTTTCTGTGTCCCATCTAAAAATCTGAGTTTTAAAATCTAAGAAATAGAATTTGATATGGGTGCTAAACTCAGTATCCTAATCCAGAGAACATATAAATGGAAGGTGTTTGAGAAGTGTCAAAGAGCATATTAGCATAGAGCACAAGTTTGGTACATTCCATTAAATAGTAATGCACTTCCTTATGCCACTGTTACAGCCAGAAATGTCAATTCGGATGAGATGTGTGGGACAATCAAGAAGTGCATACAAAACCTGAAGGGACGAGATTAATGGCAAGGTTAGGTGGGAGGGATGCACTATAAAGGCCAGCCAGTAAGAGGGTTTGATGCATGGATTGCCTTAATTCTGCTCAGGATAGGATCGATAGTAGGATTTTGTGAACACTGTGATGAAACTTGAACTTATACTGTGGTTGTCTGTGTTATGACACCACAAAGTCTTGTAGCTGGATTTTAGTGTTTTGAAGGTACATACTACCCCCATTTTCAGAGACAGAGTGGTTGCAGGTTCATTTTAACCATCTTGTATGACATGTATATTTTTCCCCTGCTGTGACCTTGAAAATGGAAGCAGTATGTTTATCTGAAATGTTGATATTCACCTAACATTGCATGGCATCGAACACAAAAGACTAGTTGGAACTATCGCCAGGTTGAAAACTTGGAAGTTTCAAGCTTCATAGAGCAGTGAATTTCATGGTGAGCGAAGTAGTTTTACATTGATGCTCTGTACTGTATAATTAACTAGGAACACACTGTCCACTGTTTGCATGAAGTCCAGTGTGTATCTACACCTTACTGTGAATGGCATTGAACAGGTAATGAGTGATTTCTCACTACCAACTTCCATCAGCCTGAAGATTAACCCCCTGAACCATCCGCAGCACCAGTCACAGCTTGTGCAGATGATAGTTTGGATGTTGCAGCACCGACTCTTGCTGCAGCTGCACACCTATGTGTACTTCATGCCAACAGCCAATGGGCCCCGTCTGCCTCAGGTTAGTGTCTGGTGATGGACAGGACTGTAGTGGCTTGCAGTTCTGGGTTGAAAGGTGACACAAAGCTGTGCTTATGGTTATATACGTGGTGCAATTCAAAAGTTCCCGAAATATATATTAATAAAAACTATTACATCTTACCTAGATCTTATTCTGCACCTTTAAAGTAGTCCCCTTGGGAGCGCATACACTGAACCCGGCGTTTCTGCCACTTTTCAAATGCATCCTGGAAGTCTTTCTTTGTTAGGGTGTTTAGTACCGTCTGTGTTTCCGCTTGAATTTCCTCAACTGTATCAAATCTTCGCCCCTTCAACTTGATTTTCATCTTGGGGAAGAGAAAGAAGTCACATGGAGCTAAGTCTGGCGAGTACGGTGGGTGGGGAACAACCACCATCTTGTTTTTAGCCAAAAATTCCTGCACAATGTAAGCCGTATGCGGTCATGCGTTGTCATGGTGGAGTACCCAGTCGTTCGTGCGCCACTTCTCTGGATGCTTTCTCCTCATGTTCCCCCTCAAACGCCTTAGAA